GAGAACATGGACGGGCTCAAGGAGACTGTGCTTACAGTCGAGCGCAAGATGGACGAATGGTTCTCGGTGTGTGTTGGACTCTAGCGAGGCGAGAGGGAACTGACTGACTTGCGATGTAGGAGCACCAAAAGGAGATCCATGCTCTTAAGGAGAACATGGACGGGCTCAAGGAGAACATGGACGGGCTCAAGCAGACTGTGGACGGGCTCAAGCAGACTGTGCAGACAGTCGAGCGCAAGATGGACGAAGGGTTCTCGGTGTGTATCAGGGCCCTGAGAGGGGTGTCACTGTACTGAGAATAATTGCCGTGCACAGATGATCAATCGACTCCTGAGAGATGTTTCAAATCTCACCTCCTCGCGACCAATCTGAAGCTATTGTAGAACAATATTACTTAGTCAGCCTTTCTCTCAGTCTTCTGTGCATTTCTAGCTTTCTTTTGCATCTAAGAACATTTCTAATTTCCCATCACTGATGTCGTCTTCGCTCCGCTCATGGGGATGTCTGGTCGTTTCAATGCGTGTAGAGGAAGCGCAGGTCCTTGCAGCTCCCCGCCGCCTTGCAGCCTTTTGGCGGCCTGGATCCGCTGGAGGAAGTCCGCGACCTTGATGCAGAGCTCGTTCATCGTCGAGTCGAGCGTGCAGATGCGGATGGGGATCATGGTGGAGCTGCTCGGGGCGTCGTTGAGGATGGCGCTCTTGCAGGAGTCGAAGCGCGTCAGGGGGTCGGTCCAGTTGGCCTTGCTCACCGTCCCGAAGCACTGGCGGTTGTAGGCGCCCGTCGTCAGGTTGCGGCTCGTCTCCGTGCAGAAGACCCACTTGTGCGAACAGAAGGGAGTGTCGTCGAACCCGCTGTAGACCCCGAACTGGGTGCTGGCCCCCCCTTCCGCGGCGGTGAAAAAAGGTCAAGAAGTCCAACGACGAGGGCAAGTCCGCACCGACTGATGCAGAGCTCAAGGAGAGGGAGCGCATTGCCGCGTTCTTCTACCACCCCGTGATCATCGCGGCAGCACGCGTCACCAATCCTGGTGACGTTGCACCCGATGGTACCATTACTGGCAACGCGGCCAAGCGCCTCACAGCCGTTACGAAAATGGACACAAAAGCTCTGCAGGGATCGATAGACGGATTCGCCGAAATGCGAAAGAACAAGATCGAGGGCAAGACGCGCACGCCGACAGCGGCCAAGTCCATTGATGAGAAGATCGAAGCCAAGCAGAGTGAGATCGCCAAGGCTCAACAGAGACTGGCGACCTTGCAAGAACAACTAACGAGCCTTCAGACCGAGCGCACCAACGGATCGAAGCCGCTTGTTGGGAAGAGGAAGGCCCCGGAGAAACCGGAGACCGTGGAGACTCTCACCGCCAAGATCCAGCGCAACCAGTGTATCCTTGAGATCAAGGAGGCGCTGGCAGTCGAGGAAGCCCTGGTCAGAGGGCTATCCAGTCGTCTGTGTCCTCACTGACCGGACAGTAAGTTGTCACGAAACAAACATGTGGCGACGCTGAGCCCCACGTCCCTCATAAGAGGCCCCGTAAGAAGCAATGCCATGGCATATCCCTTCTTCAACCTTCGTGTGCTTCCACTATTGTGTGTTTAATTAAACCGCTACGAAATCGGAAACTGAGACTTATAGCCTGAAAATATTCCCCTCCACATCCTGCCTGAGGAAGAGGTTGATCAAGGTCGCGGACTTCCTCCAGCGGATCCAGGCCGCCAAAAGGCTGCAAGGCGGCGGGGAGCTGCAAGGACCTGCGCTTCCTCTACACGCATTGAAACGACCAGACATCCCCATGAGCGGAGCGAAGACGACATCAGTGATGGGAAATTAGAAATGTTCTTAGATGCAAAAGAAAGCTAGAAATGCACAGAAGACTGAGAGAAAGGCTGACTAAGTAATATTGTTCTACAATAGCTTCAGATTGGTCGCGAGGAGGTGAGATTTGAAACATCTCTCAGGAGTCGATTGATCATCTGTGCACGGCAATTATTCTCAGTACAGTGACACCCCTCTCAGGGCCCTGATACACACCGAGAACCCTTCGTCCATCTTGCGCTCGACTGTCTGCACAGTCTGCTTGAGCCCGTCCACAGTCTGCTTGAGCCCGTCCATGTTCTCCTTGAGCCCGTCCATGTTCTCCTTAAGAGCCTGGATCTCCTTTTGGTGCTCCTACATCGCAAGTCAGTCAGTTCCCTCTCGCCTCGCTAGAGTCCAACACACACCGAGAACCCTTCGTCCATCTTGCGCTCGACTGTCTGCACAGTCTCCTTGAGCCCGTCCATGTTCTCCTTGAGCCCGTCCATGTTCTCCTTAAGAGCCTGGATCTCCTTTTGGTGCTCCTACATCGCAAGTCAGTCAGTTCCCTCTCGCCTCGCTAGAGTCCAACACACACCGAGAACCCTTCGTCCATCTTGCGCTCGACTGTCTGCACAGTCTGCTTGAGCCCGTCCATGTTCTCCTTAAGAGCCTGGATCTCCTTTTGGTGCGCCTGCAACTCCTCTTTCAGTCGGATTCTGCAACGGTGAGTCAACACCCTCTACAGACCATGTGTTTGTCCTCGTTGTCCTCACGAAGCTCCTACAAGCCGCGGGAGTCACTGTCACAGAGAGATTCGAGGAGCAGAGGGATATGCTCAAGTACCTTGAGGTCCATCCTCAAACTGTTGAACATGCTGTGGACGCTTTGAGGCGCAGCGTAACAAAAGAAGACTGGTACTCCGCTCTTCGCCAACAAGATGTCAGCCTCCCTAGCAGATTTCCAGCGCCTTGCGATATGAGTAGCGTTCTTGACGAAAGCCTCCTTCTCTCCTCCGACTATTATGCCCATTGCCAGCAGCTTGCTGTCACCGCACTCTGAGCCTTGTGTTGACCACACTGTCTGGGCTTTGAGTGCCAAACCTACCTCAAGCTGCCACAGCTTTCGTACCATACAAGACGGTTCTTCTGTGATCTCGAAATGGATGAGAGCGTTCTCGGAGAGCAAGAGACCTTCGAGCTCGTCTCTGGCGTCAGCGACCTTGTCGTCGTCGTATGAATGTAGCGCTATGACCTGGGGGACTCCGTCGTCGGCATCTTCCGAGTCTACCAAGCTTCTCAGCACATCTCTCAAAGAAACTCTCGAGGAGTTGGAGGAGTTGGATCGAGCTCGAAAGTAAAGGTCGAACTTGAGCTTGAACTTTCCCTTGAAGGTGCAGCTTTCTTCTGGTATACCTTCAAGGCTTCCTGAACTTCCCATCACTAGCGTGGAGTTGATCGCGCGTCGATACTCTGCTCTGTTGATATGATCGAGGTGCTGAGGATTCTTCAAGTTGAGAAACATCAACATCTCGACTATGATAGCAGGCAGGTTTGCATACACCTGACTTTCAAACCAGTTGCTGGACGTTTTTCTGTTCAGCTTCAGAATGCTCTTCTCCTGTTTTCTCGATTTATCCGCTGCAGATCTCGCCATTTCTACAAAGTAGAACAATAGGGCCGGGACTCGGAGACTCTTGGTAGGATTGTCGACAACAGCAAGGTCCGAGAGGAGGGTTCTGAGACTAATTCTAGACTTGAGGAATCTTCAAGCTTGATGCATCTGCCTGGCAGTGGGTTTGAGACCCCAGCCAGTGAGTGCGCCTCAGTGCATGGAGCAAGCCTGGGCTTCGCTACCTTGAGGGCCTCGGGAAGCGCGGCTCGTCGTCAGCTTGCTACTGATGGGTTCATCTGGCAGCTTGAGGTAGGTTTGGCACTCAAAGACCAGACAGTGCGGTCAAGACAAGGCTCAGAGTGCGGTAGGAGAGAAGGAGGCTTTCGTCAAGAACGCTACTCATATCGCAATGCATCAAGAACTTCACAGCTATGATGATCCGAATTAGGGCCGTCCCAGAGTCTAGAGCTCGTGCATGGAGGTCTCCGAGGCAGGCCTTCGCTTGCGGTAGATCCAACGCTGATAGAGGTAGATGAAGAAGACAATGTCGTCTCGAAAGACAGACATCCTGACATCACTGTGAAAACGAAGAAAGATAGCGCAAGAGAGGGATCGTACCTGTGAAGCCCTGGCATGGTGATGACGAATGCGAACAGGTCGTCAATGAAAGTATTCAGAGCACGATATATGAGCGCTCTCCAAGGAAGGTGTTCGACACTCTTGTACTTGTAGTTGAGGAAGAGCTGCGGCGTCATCATCATGAAGCCTGCATTGAATCTCAGGCGTCTAAGAACAGGAGGCAGCAGCCCCCTACCTACAGCATACACAACGTTCACCCCGCTCTGGAGCGCCCAGCTGTACCAGCCCCTCTGGTCCTCATACACCAGACTGTAGACAGCGTATCCGACGATGGGCGGGCCGAGGATGTTGAGGAGGTAGGCGGATGCGATGTAGTCGATATGGCGTGAGATCGCCTGTGCAGGGAGTCAGGACGAGCATGCCCCGTCTCCTTGCTGCTTCACCTGCTCTGCTCGCAAGTCCTCCGCCTCCTTGTCGCTTCCTCGGCCTCGCATGAGAGACCATGCCTTGATGAGCTGCAGCGAGTCAGAGCACGGGAGGCTGCCGAGGTTGAGGACGGGGAACCTTCCAGACGTTGACGAGCAGCCCGCCGCCAACCGTGAAGAGAACGAGGTAAGACGTGTCGTTGTCAAGGAGGTACAGAAACACGACAAGTTCCATGATGGAGGAGACAGCTGACGGCGAGCGTTATCGGCTGCGTGGTGGAAGGAAGGGAGAAGTACCGATGGAGCGAACGGAGATTCCTTTGGTAGACTGAAGCCCTCGCCAGAAGTTGATGTCGTTCTTGAATGCGAGGATGTCGAACAAGAGATGGAGGAAGGAGACGACGATGGTGGTGACAAGTAGCCAGGAGTTAGTTTCAACGAACATCCTGCTCCACCCAGTCAGTCCCCCCTCCTCTATCCCTCTCATGATGCATGCCTTCGTACTTCTTCCATCTCTTTCTCGGGAGTTCCTATCTCCTTGTGCATCTGAACACTGTGTTCCATCTGTGACACGATTAGCTCGCGTACTCGAGATCCTTGCCCTCCCACCAACCTTGAGCATCCACACGAACCTGGTGATGCCCAAAGGTTGCAAGCTAATCTGCAGCATGAGGAGATCAGAGAAATTTAGAGGAGCAAGAGCAAGAGCAAGAGCAAGAGCAAGAGCAAGAGCAAGAGCAAGAGCAAGAGCACGGGCACGGGGAGCAGGAGGAACGAACCGAAAGAGGAAGCTGGGTCACAGTGTCATTGATCTTGAGAAGGTCTTTTGACAAGGTTCCAAGCTCATCGATATGAAGGAGAGGTGCGTATTGCTTCCTCCTGTTGTCAATCCCCTGGAAATAAAAAGCTGATTACAAGCATCGAATCAGCAGAGCAAAGATTCATCAGGACAAGAGCATTGCGGGACAGTGTGAGAATTTGGGCACAGCCAAGATAGGGAGAGAGAGGTTCATCCTTACCTCCGTTTGCTGCAAGGAGTAGAGGAGAAAGGGGCTGATATATTCCTCCGACATGCTGGGGTAAGAGTTCGTGTCGGTGACGACAAAGATCGCCAGGCGCGGACTCCAGTACGGAAGGACTTTCTTCTCCTGCCAACAGCGTGAGCCATCGGTCTCCGACCTAGACTCTGTGTCTTGCCTCTGTCTTGTTGGGAGGAGGAGGAGGCAAGCCGAAGAGGAGGTTGTACTTGGCTGGCTCGTAGATCTCAGGGATCCAGCGAGAAAGAGGTATGACCCTCCACAACACCTTCATGTCTGCAAGGCAGAGTCAAACCCGCCCACCTCAGCCGACACCAGGCATGCCATCGCCACTCACTGTACTGCCTGTCTTGCTGGTTGTTGGGATCGAAGGGGTTCGGGGAGATCCCTTTCTTGCAGAAGAAGACGTGAGCGTAGAACAAGCTCTGATTCCTCTTCACAGCCTCGGGCACCTGGAGCTAGCAGTCACTCCCACCTGTAGCAGAAGGGGGGAGGCAGGCAGACCGTCACGTTGATGGTAAAGGGGCCCTTAGAGATCTGCCAGCCGAAGGAGGAGGTGTTGTGAAAGATGGGCTGGTCAGGATTGAGCTCTTTGTTGAAGATCGCGCCGTCGCCATGTGCAAGGTACTGGGACATGCTGGTGTAGACGTACACGTCAACTTCCTCGCCCTCTTTGAACAGAGGCTAACGCAAGTTAGCACCCGGCGCCAAGTGCATAAGTCAGGTACCGTGAAGCTTGAGGGCTTCTTCCCTGAGCCTTGAGACTCTGCCAAAGGCGATGCGAGCACGAAGACGAGGAGGAGTGGAAGACTCGGAAAGCTTCCTAACAGCGCCCTCATCGCTTCCAGATCCACTTGCTGCCTCCCTTGAGGTGGATAGGCGAGGGAAGCACTAAAGCCTCTTCCTAGATGAGAAAACGGACGACTGCAGGTCTATACAGTCAGCCGCAGATCAGATCGCCCACTTCTTCACTGAGTCTTCTATGGTATCGTGTGCCCTTTGGTAAATGTCTATTCCCGCTACAATAAGTTTCGACAGTTCAGAGATTCTTTCACCCTCTCCTATCAACTTTCATCCTTTTCTTCTATCGTCCTCTTCTACCGTCCACTAACTCGTCTGTTGCTCCTTATTTTCCTAATCCAAACCTTGTCATTATCTTTTCTGTTTTGGTTTCACCCCATTCACCTATCATACTCATCCTCTTCATCATCTTCATGCACCGTATTCATCTATCCTCCTTCTCCTCCTCCGCCATCATCATCAGCATTTGCTCGTCCTGCCCGTGCGTTCTCTCTCTTCCTTTGGAACATCCACCCCACCCCTTCGTTTATTCCGTGTACAGGGGTAGTGAAGGAATGGAGCTGGATCCACGTTGAGTAAAAGTTATGTCATGTTCTTACGTAGATGCGACCGGCGATGATTGGGGATATGGCGAACGATGAAGGAGAGCAGGAGGAGGAGGGCAAGGAGGAGAATAGCTGAGGAAGATACATGGAATGAGCAGAGGAAGAAGAGAATGGATGAAGATGGTACAGGGATCTGATGTCAGTAGTGTGAGGGTGGTGATGCAAGCTCGAGAAAATCCACTTGGCCATGAGACCACCAGGAAGGTAGCATTGTGAGAGCAGCTTGATGAAACAGATGTTGATCTCATAGCACGCAATAACTCACAAGGGAAGCCTATTGGTGGTGAGTGCTAGGACCCACCACTTGATCTTGATATGATTATTTGAGTTTACTAGACTCTTAGTCGAGACTTTCATAGCTAGGAACTATTGCTCTCTGCTCATTTCTCGCCTACTGATCTGTCAAAAGGGGGTTCACAGCCTTGGGAAGTCGTTGATCTTCATAATCCTTAACGACCCTGACGTTTTACAGACCGCGTACAAAATCGACAATGAAGCGAGGAGCGAAAGGAATCGGATCTGTAGCGAAGCGCAGGCGAGAAGAAGAGCGGAAGGAGGTCGAAAATGTAAGATTCAATGCTGCCAGACATGATGGCATACGTGACATACCTGTGCTAATTGTTTAGGCATCTTTCTTCGATCAGAACATGTTTTCCGCTGAGAGTGTTCAGAAATTTCAAAAGGAATACACGGAATGTAAGCCATTCAAGCACATTCTGATTCAGAATGTTTGCAACCCCGAGACTCTCAAGGGTGCGCTCGACCAGGCCCTTGAGAACATGAAGGCTGACCTTAGAGAAAGCGATTGGTCATTGTTCTTGGGGGAAAGCTTGACGATTCTTACTTCGATGCAGCTTCAAAGTTTACCAGACCAAAAACTTTCAGGACGTGGATGATAACGAGCTACAAACGATCAAGAAGGTATGCTACTGCATCCTATGACTTCTGTGCTCGGTAATCGCATGTCATTGCAAGATTATGGCCTTGAAGCAAACGATATACGGTGAGGAGTTTCTCCGATCTGTTCAGGAGATCACTGGTTCAGCAGCACTGTCGGACAAGGTGCGCATTTTGAGAGAGTACGAAGAGCGATGAGACTGATGATGGTGCGATCCGCAGGTGGATTTCTCGGCGTACATCTTGAACGAGGGTTGCCACATTCTCCCAAACAATGAGATGTGGTATGAGGGAATGTCCTGTGCTTCCCTAGCCTCTTGACCTCCAACGTCAGGCTGACTGGCTCCAGAGCGATCGGCTTCCTTCTGTTCATGACGCCCGAGTCAGAGGAGTGGGGGGAGTCGGACGGGGGGTTTCTCGAGCTCTATCCTCAGAGCGAGCAAGGTCCTTGATGCCCTGCAGGTGTTGCGTCTAAGGCGTGATGACCACAGGAGGAGCTGATTGTATCCCCACCAAGTTGATCGCCCCGAAATGGAACTCTATGGTGCCCTTCAAGTGTACTTGACAAACTCTGACACTTGTTAGCTTCTCTTCGAAGCTGGGCATTTCTTCGGATTCCAGGAGGTGTGTGTTCCAGACAAGACATTGCTCTGCCTGGCAGGTGGAACATTCACTGCCTGCTCCTCTTCGTCTCAAGGGCTCACGTTTATCACCAGGATGGTTCCACAGATCTTCTGATAGCCAAGACGGGAGGAAAGAAGCTCCTCCAGGCACGGAAGATGCTCTAGTGGGAGCTGGAGAATTCTTGAAGCATTCGAGTGACTCAAAGATCAACGAGGAGGAGAAGGAATTTCTGTCTCAATACGTCAACCCCAAGTAACCTTTCAAGATCCGGATGTCCCCTGACAATGTGCAGGTACCTGGATGAAGAAGTGATCTCGCAGATCAGCTCACAGTTTGAAGAAGATTCGTTTGTTGAGCTGAAGGATTTCCTCGTAGCAAACGAGCTGAAGGCAATCGTGATGATTGAACGTGTATGGAAGCTGAAGTGTGTTCTTGTCCAGAAGCACGTGAAATACCTGTTTCAATTGGATAACAGTATAGACAAGGAAAACAAGCGCGTGAGCTATACTGAGGGTGTTTCCAATGGCTGGCATCTTACAGGGCCAAGCAATTGCCGTCGATATCTAACTCTTAAGGCTGAAGAAAAGAAGGGGCAGATGAGTCAGCAAAGCTTCTCATGGACCTGAAGATGAAACTCTTCGCTTCTGATGCCTTCGCCAAGCTCGTTTCTGCTTTCACTGGGTAGCTTTTGCTTCTTTCCATCTGTTCTCTAGCTTGTGCGGTAGTGATGGTTTTCTTTTGGGCATTCAGCGTGTTGGTGACAGAAGCAAGATCGCTGATTCGAAGATTTCGCCCCGGGCTTGACTACGTACAAGCAGCTGGTCATATCTCGGGCCAGGAAATGAGATTAGATGCAACCCTGTGTTTCGTCGACGATGCAGATCAACAGGAGTCCGGCGAAAGCAGCAAAACAACGGCAGCTCTGCAGTCGCAAGTGAAGACAGAGAGATGTGTCAGAGCAAGTCAGACATGTGGCAAAGCTCGTTGATCGGAGGATATGCTAGCTTCGTCGCCAAGGTGATGGAAAACACGTCAGCTGATCTCCTGACATGAACGGGCAGGATGATTACAAGCCCTACATCATTTATGAAGGAGGAGCATCGCAAAAGGTAACTGACCTCATTCATGAGGCCCATGACACGATGCAGGGAGAAAGCAAGAGCGAAGAAGAGCAGGACGATGAGCCCTTCGCTCAGGTGCTGCAGAGATGCAAGAGAGATCAGCTGACAATGTCTTAGGCGACTGCTTGCAACAACAGCTTGTTCATCGCTCTCAGAGATGAGGTGAGTCCAGCATAAGGGGAAGAGGGAGAAACGAATGGGTGAGAAGGAAGGAGAAGGAACAGAGGAGGCAGAGGAGGAGTGAGAAAGGTGTGAGAGGGGGAGGGGGAGGCGAAGAGGAGACTAGAGAAGTATGAAAGGCTGACCATGATGCGGCAGGGAGTCTCTAATTTCGTCAAGTTTGTCAGCGGACTTGCCCCTGGCAGTCGTTTCGATGTGACATATGAAGCAAAGATGAGATATCACGACGAGTGAAGTCAGAGACGTACCCGATCTTGTTGACGGAAGCTGATCGAACACTACTGCTAATGAAAGTGGATGATCGTTCCTAGAGTATATGATGATCTCGGCATTGAAATCTTATCTAGAGCTGTTTTTTGAAGTGTTCTTCTGTCTTTTGGTAAGGGGTCCACCCAATCACCCTAAATTTTGTCCCAATGGTCACTGCTGTTGCTGGTGATCATGTTGGCTGCGAGCTGAAGCATGAAAGAAGTTGGAGGCATCACATGTGGTACTTGCACGTTTGTTGTGTCTGTTGCCGGCACCCTGACGAGACAAGGAAGCTGTGCAAGCAGTTGTTGGTGATTGAACGTGACCTGGTCGACGATCAAGTCTGTTTCACATGAAGTTTTTGCTAAATTTTTAGGTCTTTCAAGCTTGCAGTCCTTGGATCTCTCCTATGACAATATGTCCAGCTTCTCTCGGGGAGTTGACAGGCTTTCATGCATGATCGAGATACGACTCTTCTCAAATCATTTCTTAAGCCTTCCTCCAACTTGATTCGCGAACCCCTCAAGCATGCACACTCTTCGAATCTACGACTTCTTCGTAGGGCTCTAAAACTTGCAATCACTTCTTCAAAACAACAATCAGCTAACATCTCTGGCGGAAGGAATGCTGTCAAACCTCCTCAAGCCAAGGTGCATCTAACTGGGGTATCTGGAGGCAGGAGACGTGGTGTTCAAGTGTTGAAGATGCGAATAGGGGACTCTTGCGATATGAGGTGTGAACCGACGGCATGATGTTGATTCGTTCGTGCATTTTCGTCACTTGGAATTATTTCCAACCGTAAACCAGAACAGGCACTAGATCAAGTCATGATGTTTCGTGATCAACTGACCTGATCTGTTTGAATTTTGAGTGTGTGTAGCCTTTTTTCTATCTTTTGAGTCTCTGCATCAGTTGTCATCATTCCATCTAATCTACACACCCTTGTAAGGGCTTCTAGTCCAATCTCTTGGACTAAGCTCTCATCTCCCACCGATGATGAGGATAAACTACAGATTGGAACATGTTTAAAACCATCAAACACGATTCCGAAGCTACATACATGGCAGTTACATAATGTCACATGAAATTTTCAGTGGTGATCTATCAGATCCATCACAGCAAGTGAGGGGTTTGTTTGTCGTCTCCTGCACGTGTTATCAGCAATCACAAAAGCGTAAGCATCTAGGTCACCATGGACTTGATTGTAAAACCTCAAGGCTCGTCAAACTGACTGCTTCCTCCGCCTCCCCTGGTATCTTTTCGTTCCGCGTCTCCATCACCATCCCCGCCCTCTGCATCGCATGCTCATGGCTCTCGAGAAACTGAGCACCACGTTAGTCTCTGTCAGCGCCTCCAGCTGCCTCCCAGCAGGCTTTCACCTCTTGCTGCGCCCCAAGAACAGATCCTGGACGCATGACTCGTATCCATCCGACAGCTTCTTTCGCAGTGAAGCCACGCATGGCCATCAGGTAAGTCCCGATGATGCAGCCAGTGAGTCCAAGCCCGTTGTCACAGTGAACAGCCACGAGGCCGCAGGCCTTCTCGACGAGCTGAATGAAGCGAAAGATGATCTGAGTGGAGGGCACGGGCGAGTCGGAGCAGAAGAGGTCGACCACTTGGATCCCGCGGTCCTGCCTCGCACTTGAGCAAGACACGAATACTTGCGCCTCTCTCACCGTGAAGATCTTGGGGTCATACTGACTGGCGTTGAGGCGGACCACGCACTTGACGTCCATCGCTTGAAAGGCTCGGAGGAGAAACTTGGGATGAAACTGAAGGGCTCACGTTAGTCCCTCGCATGCCACCTCTCCCCATCACCTTGCGCACGTAGCCCTCGTCTGTCCACTCTTGGCCATCTGGAATCCTGTCTGTCGGGCTCTGAAAGCGGCAGGTCAGCAGAGGTCACGTTGAGAGGATGTTTTGCAAGCCTGAACCTGAAGAGCGAGAAGCTTGTGGGGGATGATGACGTTGATGTCACCGTTGAGGGGGTCGGCATAGTGCTCGTACTCCTGTTCCTCTTGTCAGTCTCGTGGGAGGACGTGCGCGCTTACGCTACCTCGAGCTCCCAGACATTTGTCATCATTCCTTCAAGCCAGCCCTGCTCCTGTGCAACAGGATCAGCCGCGACTGTCAGTGTTGTGCTGCAGCACTCACATGCGCTTTCTGCAGCCCTGCCAGCACATGCTTGTGAGGAAGCAAGCATGATCCTGTGCGGGTTGCTGTGCACGCATCATGGACAGGGTCGGGTGGTAGCGAACCAACCGTCAAGGTAGGGAAGAAGGAGGGAGGAAGGAACACTCCGGCAAGACAGACAGGCCTCGCGGCATGATGATGACTGGCATAAGATCTGTCGGTAAAGGTTCAGACAGATGGGTCATGGACTGACTGATGGATAAGCAGCCTCGACAAGCATTGACCTCGTAGGCGCCGATGAGCAGAACGGCGTTAGTGATGCTCGCGGCAGTGGGAGGGGATCTTAAGATAATCGTCTATGGTTAACAAATCAGAGACAAAAGAACAACACCACCAGGGAACACTGAACCTTGTTGCTGTGACATCTCAATATTCTTGTTAGAGATTGGCAGAAACGAATGATGCAACTGTGACAGAATGAGGAACTTAAAGTCGAAATTGAACTCCATCGCAGCACCTGGCATCGACGGGCCCAAAGTCTTGAGCAAACGGAAAGTACACAAGAAACTCGTCGAGATCTACAATTGCATATCTAGACGAGCAGTCATAAGGTAGCACCCTCCAGGTACAGACCTTGAGTTGTCGTACTGGGTTGGGATACCATAGCTTGCTAGCAGGAAAATCTTCGGTGAGATCGGATACCTAATGAGGTCGAGTGAGGCAGGGAGAAAGAAGCTTTTCGATGATACATCTCGCCATCTCTTATCTCTTGAATCGCCTGCCATGAATCAGTTCAAGGGGTTCGCCATGGAAACAACGCAGCGCTCACAACCTGTTCCAGCAGCAGAAGGGAAGGGCTTTCAGATCCGATCTCTGATGCAATAGGTCAAGTCAGCAGCTCAAGTATGCATGGCCGATGCCATCTACCTCGGTAGCCGTGTAAGAAATCCTCTTCTCCGCTATTGTCGTAGCGCGATGTGACCTTCTTGCCCCGCTCAGAAACCATTCCCGCTGAACCTGCGACGCCCTCTGTGCCTTATACCTCTTTACAACATATGTTCCGTGTGGTAAAGTGATCATGAAACGAATCGATACATATCTTCAACCGCTCGGAGGTGTGATTGGATGCCCATGTGACAGGTGTGGGGGCCTACAGGTGGTCACGGACACACGGTCCGAAGGAGATCTCGGTCATGTGCCGTGTCTAGAAGGCAGGCTGAGAGGTCACGAGAGGGAAGAGAAGACGGACGTTCAAAGAGCTGCAAGCAAGCGGTCAGACCGAGATACGCCACAGCGAGACGAGGAGAACGAGGAGACGAGGACACGAGGAGACGAGGAGACGAGGAGACGAGACAAGGACACGAGGAGACAAGGACACGAGGAGACAAGGAGACGAGACGAGGACACGAGGAGACGAGGAGACGAGGAGACGAGACGAGGACACGAGGACACGAGGACACGAGGACACGAGGACACGAGAACTGAACAAGTAGAACAATTAAAACAACGAAGACTGACGGGAAGGAGAAGATTGGAACGAAGAAGTACGTCAAGACTAGCTTCAACGATGGCCTCCCGCATCTGCATTGAAGGCTTTTCAGTTACTTCAGACGTTCGCAAGGCCGTCCCAAGACTGCGACTCAACCCAGGGCAGGAGCAGTACCTCGAGGCTATCAAGGATCGCATGTCAGTGCAGTCTGACTCAAAGGCTGACCGGCTGGATAAGGACAGCTGCCTGTCGAATATCCTGGAGGCAAAGAGAAAGTTTAGTAACTCGGTTGCGAGAGCTCAGATGGACATTGATGGCCTGTGAGATCAGATGAACATTGATGGCCTGTAAGATCAGATGAACATTGATGGCCTGTGAACGATACTAGAGCAAACGCTGAGCAGGAAATCTACAATTGTCGTGCATTGCTTCGATCAGGGATCCTGACTCAGTTGACTGGGTGTGCAACGGACACCTTTTCCTGTCCTACGAAGCTTTTCGGAAGTTTCGTCGAATGTTAATCAGCCTGAGGCCTTGTTTCGTTCCATGTCTTGTCATTTTTGAGATAACATATGTACATGTTTGAAGGTAAAGATGATATGCCTTGAGTGTATCCAGAGTCTAGCTGAAAGACTCAACTAAAAAAACTATTGAAGTGATGAATACACGAAATGTCAGCTTCAGTACCTGGCTGCCCGCTGTGTCATGACAAATCCGGCGTTCTGCCAGTGCGGCTGGCAACTGAAGAGTCACCCTGAACTTCAAGTTACGGAACTTCCGAGTCAACCTCATCTAACTCTTCATAGCATCGCCGTGTGGCTTGTCAGGGTCACTGAAGTCTCCTCGACTCTCCTGAGTCATTCGATCGTCCTCGTGATGATTTGATTTTGGGAAATTTTCAAGCTTTCCGGCATGAAGATCGGACTTCAAGCCTAGCTAGTAGTAGTTGTTGACAAAAAGTTAAAGGAGGAAGTCAGTGATCAGTTTGGGGGACAGCAGTCGGCAGGATTGGGTTTGGTTCTCGCTGTCTTTCTCTTCTCGCCGTTTGGCCTGTGCGACAGTGTCAGGGTCAAGCCTCCTCGACTCTCCTGATTGTCCTCGTACTAGCTTTTAACTTAATGAAAAGTTTGAGTGGAAGATCAGTAGTGATCAGCCTAGTAGTGATCAGTATCATGGGTTTGATAATTCCCGGCGGCCCGCTGGTCCGGCTCCGGGTGTGAAAGAACCCCGGGAAGAAAAAAGTCACTTGGTGGATGCCCCTTGCCGCAATGCAGGCGCGACTATGGTTGACGGCGATCCTTAGCGTGACGATGGCAAGAGGAGCTCAGATAGGAGGAGGAGTTTTGTGCGAGGAGGGTCTTTGTGGGGCTGGGAGGAGGAAGAACGAAAGCACGGGCTCCTGCGTATCTTGTTCCTCTGGCAAGTTCCAGATCAACTACTGCCACGATTTCCCAGTCTGCCTTGACTGCCTGGCGGGGAAAATCTCTTTAGCAGGAAGCTCGACATGCATGACTTGTCCTCTGGGGAAGATCGTCAAGCACGATGGGAGGAGGAGATGCTACTACTGCCCCTCAGGGAAGTATGCTCCGCTCGACACTCCCCTGCCGAATCAATGCACCAGTTGTCCTGCGGGGAAGACAAAGAAGTTTGTAGCTGCAGTGAGCGGGTGCGAGGACTGCGACCTCGGATGGTGGGCGGATGAAGGTCAGACGGGATTCCTCAAAACTATCGCCTGCCCTTCACTAAAGTCTATTCTTTGACACTCGGTGACTACAGGATCGCCGTTGGGTTGCTTGCGTTGTGAACCCGGGACGTTCTCTGATGGAACCATAGCCTGTACATCCTGCGATCGAGGTTTCACTGGAAGTAAAGTACTGAACAACTGAGAGACATTGTCTTCAGGTCACTACACTGCCGGGTTTGCCATGACAACATGTTATGAATGTGCCGTCGGTTCGTATGCTAGTTCCGTTTCCTCGTCGACCTGCAGGCGTTGTGAGCCAGGTGTCTTACTGTCCTGCACGTTCTGCTTCTACTTACATGCAAACAATCTAGGATCCTACAGCAACCAGACTGCAACAGCTCTCTGTCCTCCATGCGCCGCTGGGAAGTTTTCTGCTGAGTATGCTTCTACCACTTGCAATGACTGTCCAGGTGGTGTTGCTACATCAGAACGACACATTCCTAACATCATCGCTTCAGATCCGCAGCCAAGTGCTGAGTGTCTGCCATGTCAACAAGGGAAGTTTCATCCAATCACCGGGCTGACGGCCTGCCTGTCATGTCCGAACGGTGGCGAGCAATGTGAAAGACTCGCAAATTCATTGAATCGGCAGGTTTCTACAACTCAACATCCAATGACAATTGTACATCGTGCGAACCCGGCAAGTATTCAGACATGGAGAGCGCAACGACATGCATGGCTTGTGGGCCAGGTAAAGCGTTGAGGGATGAGGGGTTACGAGTGAAGGATCCTCGGTAATGCATGTCCAGGATCGTACTCGGGGATATTTGCTGCTGTCAATTGTACGGTGTGTGAGGCCGGTAAGTACAATGCTTTCTTCGGGGCAATCAACTGCACTTCTTGCCCGGCTGGGTTGACGAGCCCTGAGGTAACTTCCCGTTCCTCTCGACTCAAAGTAACACTGCCCAGGGCTCAACATTGATCGAGAACTGCACAAACGTGTGACAAGCTAATGGGAGATCTTGGGAGAGCTGCAAGATCGTGTATACTGGTAATGGAAGTAAAGATGTGAGACAAGAATGAATTAGGTCGCTTTCATTAATCCCAAGTTTCGTTGGGATCCGGATCAAACCGCTTGTACAAGTCTCGAAGCTGAGGATCTTCGATGTTAGACGCACTCTCTTCGTTTTCTTGACGCATCTGTGAGCAGGCAATCTTACAGAGAAACAAGGAGAACCAGCTCCTTACCTTGGCCATCTTCTTATCAAGGATGCGCTTGTCTCTGTCTGACAGTCGCTTGCGGAAGTTGCGCATGACTCGTTCCTCGGCCACTTCCATCTTCTCCTTCACCTTCTTCAGCTCCTCCTTCTCCGTCTGCCATGGCATCAGCAGCTGGACCCAGACTTACTCTCTGCATCCTCCCACCTTGTCTCTGGCCTTCATGGCCTTGAGGCGCCTGGGGTACGACATGTCATAGAGACAAGTGAAACTTCATATCCACCTTCTCAGGTCTGCTCTCTTGGCATTCTTAGCCTTCAGCTCTCGCGAGATCTGCAAGGGGGTCAGGACGCGGCCACGGGCGGCAGCGAGACGTCCAGACCTTCTTGTGCACGATGAGGAAGCCGGAGTGACGTGAAAGGTGCCCAATGTCTTTGAGGTATCTGGAGGCGATCAAACGAGAGAGCGGCGGTTGTCGCCTCCCTTACTTGAAGAGCTTGCTCACTTTCGTCATGTTCATGGACTCAACGAATTTCTTCAGGCTGCTCTTGTGCCGCTTTTGGTACCTGTAGAGAGACGGACTTCAGCTGCAGAGGAGCAGGGACAAAACAAGCTGATGTTACGCTTTGACGAGCTTGGTCAGAGGCTGGCCGTCAAACTCTGATACTAGATCTCTGATTCTCTCGACAACCTGACATAAATCAGCCTCTTTGTCCATCATATTCTTTCATTTCACTTCGAACGGGATGGAGTTCTTGATCTCTTCATATTTCCTGGTTGCACTCTCAATTCCCTCCTCGTCCGCCACCGTCGTACCTCGAAGGCTGCCGCATGAACAACCGAGCGCCGTCCTCCGCCTTGAGTTTGAACTCAATCAGATCTTTATCGTCTTTGTCCTGATATCGAGGGTCACAGCAAAAAATACGTAGCCAAGACAACCTTGCGAGCACTTTCAAGACTCAGGAAATCGCCTCCAACGTTCTCAAACTTCTTGGTGATCGGGTTCCATCGCTGTTTGCATCGTTACACTTGTTGAGAGCGTCAAGAAACAAGAGAATGGAGTACCTTGACAATCGCCACGTCCGCATGCTCGGAGGAATCGAGGTTCTCCTCTGCTTCAGAGAACACATGCAGCTCTTCTTCCGCTTCACTCTCTCGGAACTTGAGATAGTTCTGACCGCTGATTGGAATATCTCTGCACGCAAATGATTGGAAGAACGAATTCACACCTGCAGTTACAAAGGCGCCCGCGGTCATACCTGAAGATAGAAAACACCTCGAACTTCATTGCGCTGTGAGGTGATTCAATGACAGGTTTTGCAAGCATCAAACAAACCTGTGACAGCATATCGAAACGCTGTTCGCCTCCATCGTTAGATTCATCAATCGTTGCTGAAACATTCTCATGAGCTCAATGGGCACTCAAAGACAAGACAGACCTCAAAATTTGCCCTCTTTGCCTCCGCTTCCCGCACGCTGTCGAAGGTGCCGATTTGAACGTGCGGGACGTAAGGGACCTCGTCTACCTGCGACGAGGGTGAGGAGGAGATGTGCTGCCGAGCCATGAAGACTTCTTCTAGAGGCTCCAAGGAGGGAAAGCGGCTGACGACTCTTCTCCGCAACCGCTTGATCCACTCTGCTCGAGGAAAAGTGAGAATGTTGAATCCGACTGCACTCTCACCATTGGCATCTTTATCTACCAGCAACTGCAAGTGAGCGTATTTCCCACGGTTGACTTCGTGGGATCAGTCCATCATCTTACCACTCATCAACAATTTGTACCTGTTCGCACTCCTGTGAAGGTGATGCTGCAAGTCTCCAAGGTCTTGAGCTCTTGCTCCAGCGCCTTTCATATCGGTTCACACAGCATGCAACACTAACGAGAGAAATCACCTCTCCAGCTTCATGGCAGTCCTCGCGTTCGAAGAATGAATGAAACAAGATAATTGTCGGGATCTTCCATCGCACATTCTCCTTGTCAAATTCATCTCTTATGTCCATGATCTGCAAGTAACATCCAAGTGTCAAAGCTCCTCCCTCCCTTCACCCGCATGTTGCCGACCGCTTGTCTAGTATGGTCGTCTTCGATCGTGATACACAGCACGGACTTTCTCACGAGCTTCCAGTTCAGAGATCGATAGCAGATCTTAGACTTATCTCGCGTCTCCTGCTTCAGCTCCTCGAACTCCGTCTTGAGTGGGTCTCTGTCTCTTTCGCCCTTGGGCATCAAATCATGCCATGGGGTACTCGCTGTCACCTGCAGCAAGTTAACCGCATGCATCATGTCATGAAAGAGCTTGACATTATTCTTGATGCAGGATCGCAGCATGTTGCTCATCAAGATGTCAGGATCGCGTTCTTTCTTCGGCCTCCCCCCTCGCAGCCTCAGCCCAACCGTCGCTCGATGTTGGAGGCAAGAGTGTCGAGGAGGGAACGAGGTCGAGCATGATGCCATTGCAGCCGCAAAGGTGAGTAGAAGCAGGATCAGAACCCTCGACTCCTTCTTTCTCTCCCCCTCCTCCGACGGTTTCTTGCTTCCCACAGGGCGTGGTTTCATAGCGGATCTCCTCCTCTTCCCGCCTTGGTCTCTAACTCATTCCCTCCTCTTTCTCTCCTCCTTCTCCTCCTCCTCCTCTCCTCTCCTCTCCTCGTCGTGTCCTCTTCTCGTCCCCCTTCCCTCCTCCATCACCACCACTTCGGTCGTTCCACCACAGCGTCTTCCAGCGGGCGCATATCCCACACGCTTGTCGCTTAAGGTACCACTTCCTTTTAAATTACCGATTCCCCTTGCAAAAATGCTCTACACGCATCGAAGTTGCTCCTCGTCACCCATATGTTCTCAACTTCCCTCCTCCTCCTCCTCCTCCTCCTCCTTGTCCTCCTCCTCCTCCTTGTCCTCGTCCTCCTCCTCCTCCTCCTTGTCCTCGTCCTCGTCCTCCTCCTCCTCCTCTTCCTCCTCCTCGTCCTCGTCCTCCTCGTCCTCCTCCTCCTCCTTGTCCTTGTCCTCGTCCTCCTCCTCGTCCTCGTCCTCGTCCTCCTCCTCCTCCTCGTCGTCGTCGTCCTCCTCGTCCTCCTCCTCCTCCCCCCCCTCTTCATCCTCCAACTGGTACCAATCGTCAGCTCTGTGCCCCTTCGTTTCTCCGCTAGCTCTCTCAGGCTCTTCACTCTTACATACCTGTCACTTGCCTTGTGCCGGCCTCCTTGTCCTGGTGTGCGAGCATCGCTAACTCTGCTTGCAGATGTCGCAGACATCGGGCGCGTCAGGGCATGCAGCCCTTGCGATCGCCTGGAGCAGGGGATCCAGGAGTGCGACCAAGTTGCTAGTGAGAAGGGAGAGAGATGTGCGCTGACGATTGAGCAGAGCTGAGATATCTCAAGACGACGAGCAGGGCTTCATAGTCAGCTACACGCTGCCGTCGGGGGAGGTTGGAAACGGCAGGGTTGAAACCACTTTTCTCCTAACACAGACGGCAGACAAACAAGGTCCGCATGCTATATGCCTCGGACTCTCCGCGAGGTCAGAGGCTCAGCCTCGCACGTCCGCGACTTAACAAGAGCAGGAGTGATGGAGGTAGCCCGCAAGTATCTGCACGTGAGGTTTGAGACTGGGATCCTCGAGGCCTTGATCGTGCGCTTGTGGTTTCATCGCTGCTGCTGCTGACGGCTGCAAGGTGGTCATGATGGTCGTCGTTCTCCCCGTCATCGCCCTGGCGCATCCCTCCAGTGACCTAGGAGTCCTCGGTGAGTCCTCCAAGTTACTTGCTGCCTCCTCCTCATCCTTCGTCAGAGCCGATCAGAGGGCTCGGGCTCGCCATCTTCAGGTCCCAACTCGCCCTCAAGGTCCTCCTGCTCTCAGCCTGGGCCGCTCACTTGCTCGAAGCCTGCGTGAGAGACGCGTGCGGCCTCCTTGCTGGACCAACTGAGAGCCTCTGCTTCCAGGTTGCCTTTGTCAAGGCCAGGAAACTTAAAGCAGGCACCCTGAATGGTGAGGGAGCGGAGGAGGCGATGGGCAGCAGACAGCTCACTGGAGCATAGAGCTCTCCTGGTTCGCAGGTGCCTTTGTCCTTGGCTTCCCCTGCTTGCGCTTCCTGCTGGCCCTGGAAAGTGCCAGTGCTGCCGGAGCAAAGAAGTACCGATGACTAGGAAGGGAGCCTCGGAGGGAGGGAGGGAGGGAGGGAGGGAGGAGATAGGTCTCTGACTGAAGCATGGGAATCTCTCCGAGCTCCATATTCGCGAGTCGGGGAATAGGATCGGAATCAAGTTATTCAGTTGTTATTTCATACCAGCAAACGTCAGGTCGGCCTCAGTTGAAGGCACTTCACTACCAGTGACTGAGCCTTCACCCGATGATGTTGTTTAATACATGCTGGACCTTTCGATCCGTATCATCCTCACTAGTAGACGGTATGGGCCAGTGGATGGCAGCCGTCGCCGGAGCCATACTAAATCACTGCCCGGCCGTAGTAATATGGCACTGCACTGAGCCTACGGCCTCGCCGAAAATCCGAACTGGCCGCCAGGCCCGGCCGGCGCCAGGCCTGGGGGCCACCCGGTCACTGGGGCCGTCACGTGTTGACCGCGGCCGCCAATAGCGACCGAACCTAAAAACTTGACAGTCGGATCTGTTCCAACGGTCCGAAGCGTCTTGTCAGGCTCGCCTCATCGGTATGCAAGGATTATCATGCAGGGCAGAAATTGCGATGATCTCATTTATTAGGTTTGTCTTGTTGCGTTCAGAGACAGCGAAATTCGGCCACTCTTTGGTATAGGGCCATGGGAGGTTACAAGATGGGAGCAGAAGCAAAGGAGAGATGAGAGAACTGTCGATGCCGCTTGACGAAGCCCCGTTGAAGGTTTAGATATCGTAGCGTCATCGAGTGACGCGAGGAGGAGGAAGTGGAAGTGAGCATCCATCCGAGCATGACAACAGAGTGATCGGACAGCATCAACATCTACGACTTCCGACTGAACCCCGGGGTGATGTCTCATCACATCATGATGACCGATACCTCCAAGTCGCTCGACGAACTGACAGTCAAGAAGCGAGAGCTGCCTCGTACCAACATCCAGCTGGATGCGAACATGGTGAGGGGCAGGCTGTCGCATGCCAAGAGCGCGGATGAGATTCTCGCTCGCCAGCGGAGGAGGGCCCCGGTGAGGATGAAGAGGTTCTACACCACAGAGCTGGACACCGACTTCTTCAAGGCAAGCTTCGACTCCTACGTCGTGTCGAGGACGGTGAAGAAGAAGGGAGGAGGGGACACGGGACCGGACGCTGAGTGCGGGGGGCTACGACTCGGGCTCAGAGAGTGCTTTTGGATCAACAAGCAGGTGTACGAGGGGACGGGCAGCAGCAAGAGGCTGGACGAGAAGCATCTGCTCTACCTCGGCTCCCGCGACGGCTTCTTCAACGCTTCCTTCCATAGGGCTGTGGACCTCAAGGGCCCGACTCTGACCGTCGTGCTCCTCGCCAACGGCAGGATGTTCGGAGGCTTCTCCTCCCTCTCCTGGCGATCCAGCAGCCGCGGGCAGTTCCATGAGGACCCACTTGCCTTCCTCTTCGTCCTCAGCGACGGTCAGAGCAAGAAGCCTCCGGTGAAGCTCTCGCAGAGGAGCACGAGTTCGCATGCTGTCTTCCACGACCCTGACCTCGGCCCCTGCTTCGGTCGAGCTCTTGCGCTGCAGCTCGACGTCCTCGCCCTCTCCTCGAGCGACGTCTCCCCCAGCTCCTACCGTATTCCTCCTGGAGCCAGCCTGCCCTTCTCGCTCGCAGGAACCAAGTCAGGATGGGACGTGAAGGAGGTGGCAGTGTGGCGGGTGTGAGTAAAGACTAGTCCCTTCATCGCCTAGCTTAGCTCTAATCAGCCCAGCTGGAGGTCAGCTGCTCTAAGCCTGCTTGTTGCTGTCGCCGTTCTGGTCTTCTGTGCGCATCGCATTCACGCTCGCGTTAACGATCTGCACGAGGAGTGAGGAGGAGCAAGGGAGGAGCGGGGGAGCTGGCTTACCTTCTGCAGGGCATGCAGTCGGTCATGCAGCATGGAGGCATCAGGAGCCGCCTCCTGCGCTGCTCCCTTGATGATATCAACCTGAACAAAGTCAATCCCTGGAGGAGGAGGAAGAGGAGGAGGAGAGGAAGAGGAGGAGGCGCACCAGGCCCTTGATCTTCACTTCCATGATGGTGCGAAGAGCGTTCCTCTCCTTCTGGTTCATGGAGCAGTAGTGCTTGAGAACGCCAATCTTGTGTTGCTGCTCTCGAAAATCAAAGAATGAAGCAGGATGAGAGGGAAAGCAAGAAGGGGAAGGAGCGAGGAGGATGAGGAGGGATGCAAGGAAGGAGGAAAGAGAACGAGCGAGTGTGTACCTGCTCTGCTGATCTTTTCTTCTCCTCTGTTAGTTCCTGAGGATGTAAAGTCACAACCACGGCGACTGGTGCGGAAGGAACCTTCTCCATCGCTATTCTTGATCGCTGCTCGTCATTGTAGGCATTCTTCCACGGTAAGCTTGAGTCTGCTATATGAGGTGTGATCAAACAAAAGAACGGAAAAGACCATGGTGGTAGGACAGTAGAGAACAAGGAGGAAGGGGAAGGAGAAGGGGGGAGTGGGGAGTGGAGGTAGGAGCAAAGGAGTACCAGAGCTGGGCTGCTGCTTCAAGGCGGCCAACTCCTCCTCCAGGTCTTTGATCACTTTGTTCTTCTGACTGATCCTTACGGTCACCTCCTGCTTGAACTTCAAGTGTTGCGATCGCAGCTCCTCCTGCTCCCTCAGCAGCTCAGCCTCCCTCGTGCTTGTCCCGAGGCTCTTGCTCGTGCCGCTCACGTCTCGCGCCTCCATCTCCCGGATCCTCGCCTCCAGTGACCGGCAGTGATGACTCAGTCTATCGTTGGCCTCCTGCAGACTCTTCGCCTGCTCCTGCAGTTTCGCGTCTGCTCCCGTCCCATTCATCTGCTCGTGCTCCCTCCTCAGGTTGTCGATCCTCTCTTCGATCTCCTCCTGGATGATCCGGTCGATCTTTGCCTGCAGCGCTGGAGGAATCTCGTCCATAGGAGCACTGCGCTGCTCGCTCCTCCCCTCCTCCGTCCAGGCGTGAGAGGTTCGGTCGTCGGAGGCAGAGAACACGTTCCCATCCGAAGTCTCTGGCGAGTCTCTTCCGTACTCGAACTCTGAGAGCACCTGCATGATCTTCGCTTTCGTCTCTGAGCTGCCTGCCTGCTCCATCGCGATCCTCTGCAGGTGGATCAGCCCAGCTGTCTTCCTGTCCAGCTCGTCTTCCAGGTCTCGCTGGTGCCTGTCGTACGCGTCCAGCTCCTCCTGCAGCCGCATGATCGTGTCGTCGCGCTCGTTGAGCCTCGAGGTCAGGGCGATCATGATGTCTCGCTGCTTGATCAGCAGCTGCTTGTACCGATCCACCTGCGACTTGTCCTCCTCCAGCACTTGCCGCTCCCTCTCCAGGTCCTCCAACTTCTTCACGTACTCGGAGTGGATTCTCTCGTGCTCGTTGCGCAACGCTGTTCGAAACGCCACGGTGCTCTCCACATCTTTCTCCATGCTCTTCTCGCCTCCTCCTATGAGCAGCTGGCTGCTCATGTTGTGAAGGCGAAGCTCCAACTTCCTCTTCTCCTGCTTCTCTCGCATGAACTCGCGCGATCGCTCCTCCAGGGCGCTCAGAGCCGCGACCTTGTCAGCCTCCGCCCTCCTCCTGAGCTCCTCCAGCTGCAGAATCTTTCTCTTGTCGATAATCTCCTTCGACTTGCTCTCGAGCGCGTTTCTCAGCTTGCGGATCTCGAGCTCGTACTTTCTCAGCAGGCCCCGCTGGTCGAGGTCCTCGTTGACCATCGCCTGGTTCTTGATGTTCTTCGCTCGGTTAGCGAACTTGAGCGTCGAGAGAGACTCGGGGAAAGACTCTAGAGCAGGGGATATCATCGCCATCATGGTAGTCCGGCAGTTCCCCCCCAGGCTGTCCTCCAGGATCCTGGTCAGCTTCGAGTCACGGTAGGGGATGTGCTGCCTCCCCTTCGAGTCCGTCAGCGCTGCGATCACATTCCCCAGGGCTGACAGCGACTGATTAATCTTCTTGCTCTCCTCCAACCTCCGCCCTGTTGCGCCCGTCAGCCGGACGCGCTCGGACCCTGCAAGGTCGACGAGGTTGAGCTTGCCGACTTTGAAGGTCTGCCCTCGGCGGTCCTCTCCGTTGCTAGAGTCCTCGTCAAGGTACTCGAGCTGTTCGGCGATGATGATGAAGACGGCGTGAGACCGCGAGGAGATCTCGTTCATCTTCGTGTTCGCTGTGGCGCGGGTCATGGCCCCTCGCTGCATCAGCCCAGAAACCTCCTTGGGTGATCGCACGACCCACTCTGAGAGCCCCTCCACGAACACTCCTCTCCTCTTGTCCTCTCGGATCTGCAAGCTGGTTCTCTCAGGCTTCAGAAGGTCGGAGATGACCTCGTTGTAGATCTGCAGGTAGGACGCTCGAACTAGAAACTTCTTTCTCTCCGACACCGCGTTCTCAATGAAGTCGAAGATCTCTTCTGTTGCTCGCGGAATGATGCCGCGCAGCTTCGGCGCCTGCTCTCCTTCCATCGTGTACGTCTTTCCCGTCCCTGTCTGTCCATAGGCGATGATCGAGGCGTTGTAACCCTGCAAGCTCGACAGGACGGCGTCCCTTGCAGTGTTGTTGTACACATCAGCCTGGTTGCTGTCTTCCGAGTAAACATGGTCGAACGTGAACGTGTAAGTGCTGAAGTTCCCAGAGGACAAGTCTTCTGCACGAGGATCGTCGAGGGCGGAGAGGTTCTCTGAGACGGTGATACGTTTATCCTCGGCTATCCGGAAGATGTTTTGGAAACGTTTGTCTCCATTCAGCTCACGGGGGAGCGGGGGCCTTACACGGACGACAACCTTGAAGTTGTTCCCAGCAGAGTCAGAGTTCTCGTAATCTCCTTCCTCCAGACTATCATCTCTCATCTTGAAGTGATAGATTGACCAAGGGACCAAACACAAATTTCACTCTTCCAACGGGCAGCAGCAAGGTCTCGGCTTGCTGCTCAGGATCCTCGCTGGAGAGTTAGGTCCATGGGAGACACCTGAGGTATTGGGTCAGCATGAGCAAATGGAGGAGGCAGACAGCCAGGAGACTGTATAAAATATCTACATCTCCAACCCCTTTCCTCCGTTGCGCTTACACTTCTGTCTGTTATCCTTGAACGCTACCCTGCCAACTAAATAAGGCGACTGCTATCTGCTACATACTTGCGAGTCCTATGAGACTACTATCCTTGCATCTCTTCTCACGTGGCTCTGTGATATCGTCTCATAGGTTCTGCGATTGGCTACCTTTCGAAGATTCTCATCATGTAGGAGCACAGAGCTCTGTCTATCCATGAAAGAGTCATACCCGGCTTGGATCTTATCAGAAAACCGCCCAAAATCACAACTATCTAGTACACGAGACTGAATCATGCCTTCTCTTCGCTATCAGATGCCGTTCGACCAGAAATACTGCGGTCAGTCCTTTTCTGCCAATTTTTGTCTCTTCGCGACATCTCCATCGTATCTGTCTACTCGAACGAGCACCTTTCATCGTGCATCTTGATGTTCTTTCAACACACGCATGAAAACCTCTATCCTTTCTCTCCTTCACTTCATCGTCAACTGCAATGCTGAGCTTTCGCATCTCAATTTTCGCAGCATGCTTCCGATTCGAAAAAGCACCGGTATTGCATGAGGGTACCCGGGGTGGTAAAGATGATCCAACTACCGGTACTGACATATCTTATTCTCAAGGCCAAGGTAGGGTACATAGTTGTAGCTTGTACAGAGGGGTAGGGGTACCACGTGGGTGGATGCTTGGACCCATCCACGTACCATATCTGAAAGGATTTACCCCCATAGGGGGTGGGGTACCCCTCCCAACCGTACCCCCTTAGTCAAACGTATCCAATATTGTGACCCCCTCTGATAACATAATGAAGACCCACCCATTTGGAAAAGTTGATGCTCCACCACCCACCTACCCGTCGACCCACCTACCCACCCACCCACCCACATTTGACTCTTCCACAGACCTCATCCCTCCCCGTGCCCGGGCCGCCGGGAATGTGACACTAGGAATGTACACCTGGAATCACGGTGACTCAGTCACTGGCACTGGGACCGGGGAACTGAGAGTCTGACTGATCAGTTGCCCCCGGCACCGCCGGGTCCGGACTCCGATGATGGACGCCGGCCCGGGCAGCGTCGGGCTGCCGGGGCTGCCATTGTCGTGATTCAAGTTTTAACTTCAACACTCTTAAGCTTAGTACAACGCCCGGCCGTGCTCTCATGATGGCGCAGCTTTCTGACGCTGGACTGCCATGACAGACCCGAGGAAAGTCATGAGCATCTTGGGCTTCACCTCGACGACGTCCTCCCACCTACCACCTCGACGTCAGTCACTGAGTTCTGATGATGCCCAAAGGCTCATCTACTCACAGGAGAAAGATCCCGCACCCCATCTTCCTCGCTACACTAAGAACGTACTGCACCGACAAGCGTTAACACCAAACTCATCACAGCAGAGTCCAGCTGACCTTAGCGTTGTGCTCGCGATCCTCGTCTGTCGATCCTTCGGTGACGATGTCCCAGTCGACAAGTCCTGCACGCCTGTGAGAAGGGGGACAGAGACGAGGGGGCAGAGCGACCTGGAGTTACTGACTCGCAGAGTTGGAGGAGGAAGAGCGAGGTAGCGATGGAGGGGTCGCTCAAGCTTGATACCTTGCGCGAGGAGCTGTTGAAGTGAGCTTGCACTCTGTCGTTGGCCCATTGGACCAGGTCAGAGTCGGAGAGCTTCGAGCTTCCTCCCAGTCGCTCGAGTAGCGACATGGTGTCATGCCGCATCAGCTGCCACACGAGGCCGAGGACGAGCTTCGCGTTGCCATCGTGAATATCCTTACCCCCTATGTTGACCGTGTGAAGGCCGAGGGCCTTGGCGCATTCCACCATGTAGTTGCAATTCTCGATCGTCTTGATCTGCACGCGCGGGTTCTTGTTGACCATCTTCCAGTTGACCACCGTCGGGTTAAGCTTCTCCATCACCTGTAGCAGCGGCTCTGCCGTCTTGCAGTCCTCCAGCAGCCTGTGCACTTGCGCGTCGATTCCCAGGCTGTTCATCCAGTTCTGAAACACGCGCTCCTCCCTCGTGCACTCTGCGTTATCGTCCTCCAACAGCGTTGCGACCTCCACTTGGTTGCTCGTGTCGTCCACATAGAGCGCAGGATGTTCGTTGAAGAGGAGGGCGGTGAAAGCAAAGTTGAGGTCCTTGTTGCCAGCAACGATGTCGTTTGCCTTCACAAAGGTTGTCTTACACCCGATCTTGGCCGCGTTATCCAACACTTTCTGCGCTCTTCTTCTCTCGTCCTTTTCCTGGAGTGGGCTGAGGTCACAGTGCTCGGGGCAGATGCGAGACATGAGGTAGATGTAGATGGTAGAGTCCTTCACGTCGCTGCTGAAGTTGGAAAGTCTCTTCTCGCACCCCGCATTCACCAGGTGAAAGTTGACCCATCGCACCAGCAGCTCTTCCTTGGGCAGCTTCAGCAGCGTCGCCAGGTCCTCGCCAGGCTTGAGGAGGAGGACGAGTTCAGGATGCTCCTTGAGGGAGACTCGTTTCAAGAGGAGAATCTTGATGATCTGCCAAAGGAGCCCAAGGACAAGGTGCGGTCGGCCGTCGATCAGGTCTTGTGCTCCGATGTTGATGACGTTGCAACCGATCGCTCTGGCTGAGTTGATCGCCAAGTTCTGATTCTCCACCTTGTGGTGCACTGACTTGATCTTGAGGTTGATGGCCTTCTCGAAAACAATCCCAGGCTGAGTCTTGTTGAGGAGCTTGCACAACAGGACGCCGTCGGCAATCACCTGCCACCAAGGTTCAGCCCCTGCCACTCGCCGACCCTCCTCCCCATCCTAACCTTGAAGAGATCTCCTGAGACCGGATCGATCGGGAGCACACCTGAAAGGTCTGCATCTGACTGCAGCGTGTAGTTGATGTACTCCGTGAATGCCTTGAGAAACGTGCATGAGATTCATTCGAATTGGAAGCGAGCTATCTTACCTCGACCTTCTCCTGACCGTAAGAGTGATATGCCCCGAAAGCTTCACCTGCCCAGCAAGTCAGAAAGAAGGGATGGTCAGCATTCGTTGCTTGCCATCTCTCCTGGTCAAGTTTGAGTCTGCAGTGGAGATCGCCTGAGCATATTTAGCAGGTGCAAAGAAATGGCTGCGCCCTCTCTCACCTCCAGACCCTTCGCGCGCAGGTCTGCAGAAAACCGGTTCCCCTCCTCGACTGTCTTCTCATCCTGGGAGATAGGCTTTCCTGGGCTCGCTGGAGCCTGAGAAGGAGGAGGACCTGGAGGTTTGGGGGGAGGAGTCTTCGCAGGAGGCTTGGGGGCCACTGCAGGAGGGGGGGTGCTGGGCTCTGGGGGAGCCGCCGCCTTGGTTTGCTCCTTGCTGGGGAGTGGGGGAGTCGGCCTGCTCGAGGGGGGTGGGGGAGAAGCAGCTTTTGCGGGCGGGGGAGGAGATTCAGCCTTTGCGGGCTCGTTCGGACTGGAGGTGGTTTGTACATGCTGGGTGCTCGATGCCAAAGGATGAGCTGGAGCCGACGAAGTGTCGTTGGGTTCCCCGAGCTGTCATGGTATGAGATGGAGAGAACAAGGTGGATCAAGGTTGAGCCTTTCCCACCGACTTGTTCGTCTTGTCGAGCTGCGAGGCCATCTTGTCGTCGAAGCTGTTCTTCCTGCAAGGCCACCATGTGAGATTGGGAGGGGACGAAGCAGTGAAACACTGACGGTTGCCAAACTTTCTTTCCTGGCTTTGCTGCCTGTTAGTCAACCATCAGAAAACGGTGAATCCGATGAGCAACTCAAAGAACAACCGTGGTCTGATCGCCAGAGGACTCCAGTCCATATTCGCCTCCGTAGCCACGTTGAAATCCGCTCCTGAGTGGGAGTAAGTGCGAAGATGTACGTTGGAGATCACACGAACTTAGCCTTCGCCTGGACAAACTGTCAGAACCAAGGGATTCTTAGCTCTGCACTCACCTTTTCTTTCTCGGCATTCATCACGTCTTCCTTGAGGGAATTCATGTCCACCTTTTGCACGCCATCTCTTGACTTGCCCCATCTTTGTTCCTCCTCAGATTGATTGTTGACGAAATCAGGATCCGTTTCCCACTCGTCATCAGACATCCTGATCGATGGAGCAAACATTAGAATCAGCAGATGATCTCGTCGAGTGAAAACAGGAGGCTTTCCACTGTTTGTCATACACCAGGGTTGTCATCTGTTGGAGCAGCGTTTTGGTACATCTCACCACACCTTGGTATCTTCTACTTAATTCGGATCCCCTTCAGATGGTTGGATACTCACGTCAAACTGGTACGAGCGTTCTAACTCGTTGCTCATGCTACTGGCTCATGCTTCCGCTCCTTCAAATCCATCTCTCGGTGCTCGAACAGCAAATCCTCCTCCTCCTCCTCCTCCTCCTCCTCCTCCTCCTCCTCCTCTGCTAACACTTAGACAGGCTCATGACCTCAACATACACGTTCTCAACCTTGTACTCGTCCATTCTTGTTCCTCTGCTCATTTTTCCTCTCCCGCTCCCTTGTTTCTCCTCTCAAACTTATCAAGCGTATCCTGCCCCTGTCCCCGTCACTTCTCCCAACCAACTAAAATACAAAATACTTTTAATATATTACATATTTTTACATTTCCAAAAATAGTTTCTACAAGCTCTTGTGTATGTTGAAAATATTATACAATCGTCCTTGGTATTCCATTCCAGGTACAAATGCTGCTGTAGTTTACACCCCACCCACTTCTCTGTATCAAGAGAGAGTACCCCACCCACCAGTTTGCTTCTTTTTAGCTGATTGGTACGGGCTACCGACCTTCTTAAAACCTTAAAACTTACGGTACAAACTTAAAATATAAAGGGGGAACCTCCATTTGACCCCCCAACTTCCTACGGTCAACCTTTGAAACTTTGAGGAGAAACTTCGCAAACTTTCCACGTTACAAAGTTTGTAATCCGGAATTAGAAGAGGTAAAAGGGCAGCAATTCTTCATATGTGATTATTTCCTATGAGAGTGGAAGTGTCCTTGGAACCGAAGGGCGGCAAGGTCAGATGGCAGTGACGAAGACAGTACAAGGTAAGCGAGTGCTATGCCGGTGTGAGCGATGGAAGAATGGCGAAGATCATGTCTTACACGTGTTCGAATCTACAGTGATATGTATAAGAGACTGAGATGTAGTTGAATGCAAGCTCTGAAACGTGAAGAGACGATCATCTTAGGCTGGAACCTGAAGAATTGTAGATACTCTCATGTACTAGGATCTTGGACTATCTTACCCTTGACCATCTTCTCTCAAGATCATTTCATTCGGATATATGACCAAAAGCAGGCTACACGCGAGAAGATCCCTCAGCAACGGAGCTGCTCACCTACATGGGCATATCCGGCATGTTGTTGGTAGGGTAAGTTACCTCCTCTTCCCTCCTCCCCCCACTGACAGAGAGCATGCCAGGTCCTATGCCGTTCGAGTCTTTGTGCACAAACGAATGGACCCAAAGGTCTCTAAGGAGTCGTCGATCTCCGACGCCCCGTACGTGGACGGTATGAGCTTTCCCTCCCGCTCTGCTTCCCGCCTCAATTCTGCTCCTCGCAGTCGACTCGCTGGACTATGGGTTCAGTACCGGATCTCGTGCTGTGAAGCCTCTTGCTGGGCCGAAGCTCTACCCCGAGAGATGGCTCATGCTCTTCGTCTACAGCTTGAACATGTGCACCCTCTCCGTCCTCGCCTCCGCCCTCCCCTCCTCTCAGCTGCCGGCCCAGCAGCTGTATGGGGTCGATGCGTATCCCATCGTCACGCTCATGTCGGTGCTCGTCTTCCTCACACTCCCCGGGTGACCCTCTCATCTCCCCCCATCAAGACGCTGAGGGCCGGACCGCCTCAGGACCGCCATGTCGAGCCTGCTGTTCCCCCGGTACGGCATCAAGGGAACGTGCTGGTGAGCAGATGGGCATCTCGCTGCTGCTCCTGACTCGGTCGAGCCTGCAGCATCGGCCTCTTTCTGGGGGCTCTGGGAGCATGGATGATGGTGGTTGCCGCGTACAAGAGGAGCTGGAACCTGCAGGTCTCTTGTCTGACTAGGAAAGCCCCGATGATTCGAGCCAGATCGCAGCCACGGTGATGTCTGGGTTGGGAGGGCCCATGTTAGCAAACGCATGCACGGGTGAGCCTTACGTGTTGAGGAGGAGGATCACGATCATGAGGGAGAGGAGGAGGAGCAGGAGGAGCAGGAGGAGCAGGAGGAGCAGGAGGAGCAGGAGGAGGAGGGAGGAGTAGT